TAGCTTCTTGCTCCTAGTAGTAAGGCCGGGAGCCCCTAGTATCTTCTTGCTCCTAGTAGTAAGGCCAGGAACCCCTAGTAGCTTCTTGCTCCTAGCACTAAGGCCAGGAGCGCCTAGTAGCTTACCCATGGTCGTCCGGTGAAGGTTCCCAGGAGGGATGGCCTCCAACCTACTAGCACAGGCCCCCAATAATAGTAATGGCCTCCAACCTAACTGCGAGCCTGGGGTTTGGTGCGGGTTTGCCACATTCTGAGGTTGAAGTCGGATTCGCGGCGAAGCAAGCTGCTGCAGCTCGCGGAGTTTTCTCAGACTCGCTTCTGCAGCCACTACGGCAACAAGCGCCCTCGTGACGTCGAAGCGGGCGTTGCATGCTCTGAAATCGCCTGGAGATACAGTGACGCAGGTTAGTAGTAAAAGATGTTTTGCTTTTGGAGGGCGATTAGGACCCCCCTTCATGTCTAGGGTTTTTTTGTTGCAGGTGTTGTTTTGTTTCAGGTCAGTGAAGCCAATTTCTCAGGCACTTTCAAGCTCATAGAGATTTGGGTTGGAGATCCAGAGTTTCTGATCGAATTGAGCAAGAAGCGTGCCGATTTGGTGATGTGCTGGCTAGAGAATTCAGGTCAGGTCCGGATGTTCTATGATTTAGTTAAGGTTCTGCGGCAGCTGGATCCTTTCCGGCCGCGGATCGTGGAACGGTGCAGGGTGAAGTTGCGGATGGCCATCAAGGATTGGGCCAAGGAGCTGAAGGAAGCAGGAGCCTTGAGGGATGTACCAGCCAAGAAGAAGAGGAACAAGCGGCAGAAGGAGCAAGCAGAACCAGTTCCCCCAAGACGACGGAAGCCGAAGGAAGAGATGGAGCTTGAAATATGGAGGAGGAGTCGTTATTTGGTTCCACCTCACACAAATCGAGGTGCAAGAAGCCGTGAACGGGTATGGGTGGGTCCTTACAACAAAGTCAAGAACTACTAGGAGCAAGGACGCTACGAACGGGGCTCCTGGCCTTAGTACTACCAAAAAAGAAGAACCCACCAATTCCATTTAGTGTGATATGAAGCTGCTGCACTTGCGACGGGTTATGTTAAATCATATCTCATTTCTCGAACACAGAACCTTTAACACCTGGGCTTGAAGGACAGCAAAGACACAAGCCCTGTGGCAAACCATCCTTAAACAGGACACGTGCAAGTTTGCTTTCACCAAAAGAACAGCTGATTCTCCACGGACGGAGCGACCGCGACCGCTGTCGGGTTCAGACGAACCGACCCGTGCGGATGAGCTTCACGTGACACCCAAACGGACCAACTCGTCCGTGCGGACCGCCGTCTCCCGATCTGCGAACCACGGTCCCGGTGCGTCCGGAATAAGCCCCGGTGGCTTTCGGCAGGTGCGAAGAAACGAAAGAAGCCACCAGAAGTCCAAGTCATTACAGATTCTCCGGTGAAGTCAGACGGCGATGTGGTGGAGGTGGTGGATTTGGAGGTGTCTCCCGTGGCGTCTGAGATCTCTTCTGCAATTCCTTTGCAAGATGGAGATGAACCAGCTCCTTTGGTGGATGTCCCAGCAGCTTCTCCAGCTGCACTGCAAGACCTTGAAGGTAGAGATGAGTTCATGCGCGAGGTCGATGAGGATGGCCTGCCATCAGGATGGATGTGAAAACAAATGACAGTTCAGGGAGTTGGATGTTTGCTGTGACTTCGTCGGGCCCCCGGGGTTAGGCCATGGGCTTTGGAGTGGCGTGTGGTCCGAACACCTAAAGGGCATGTTCTTGACAGCTTTCGGAGGCGTTGACGATCAGGGACGAGAAGTGGGACGATCTAATGTCGATCGATCATGAAGCTGAATATGTTTGGTTCACGTCCAAGGTTGTTTCTTTGTTTTTTGTTAGCCTTGCATGGCTCCTTTCGGTTTATTTCTGACGGAAGCTATAAAATTATGGCACTATGGAAGTCCAAGGGTCACAATTTGTGATTTGTACTATGGATTTCGAATGCCAATAGCACCAAGTTCTCCTCGTGATCACCTGCCTAACGGCAACATAGTGGTCACGAGCTCATTGAGGATTGTTATTGTCAATTGACAAGTCAGTATGTGTATACATATATATATATTATATATATAAATGTATAAACCATGTTCTCAGGTGTCTTACTTGTGGCATGAGAAAATGGTTGAAAAAATCATTTATGTAATTATACAATATAAATATACATGACCTTAGCATGTTTGCCAAAGGATCGCGACGACTTCGTCGCGCGTGCATCAGTTTGCGGCCCGGAATCCGTGCATCCGTCCCCTGCGCAACGAAAACCACTCGACCGTCAGCGAAAAAAGCAGGGAACCTCTAGAACTCCACCTATTCTTGCTCCTAGTAGCGATGCCAGGAGCCCCTAGTAGCGTCCTTGCTCCTAGTAGCGATGCCCTTTGTTACTAGTAGCTTCTTGTTACTAGTAGTAAGGCCAGGAGCCCCTAGTAGCTGCTTGTTACTAATTCTTTTCAACGTCTTCGTTGTGCACCGTGGATCACCGTTCCACCCGGACACACGTGGGGGGTTCACCCAGACTGGCCAGTCCCGCGAGGAGTGCCACGTGGGAACCTACCAGATGGGCCAGGTGCTCCGGAAGCGCCTCTGCCTGAGCCCTCTGACGAGTCACCAGTTTGCCGCTCCAAAGCCCGAAAGTCCAGGAGAGCCAAGAGGAGCAAAAAGGGCCAGACCTAAGGACCTAAGGACAGGACGCAGGACGCAGGACGCAGGACGTGACACGTGCCGCAAAACCGGTGAGTTACTGGAGGCAGATGGGACCTGTTCATCCAGGCCCCTCTGGGCTGGATACACTGAAGGAATCAGGAAGAGGGATGGCACCACCTGTGGTATTCGGAAAATGGTCCATCCACAGGGCCATGCCATCCACTTCCATGAAGTCCTTTTCCGGGGAGTGTAACCAAACGGAATGAAGTGTGGATGGTTCGTTGGCTCAAGTAGGAATGTCCACTGACTATCACTGACGATCATTTCATCGAGAATTTTGTGGAGCGCAAGTCATGCCAGGTAGTTGACCCACAACATGATTGGCCGCAGGATGTAAATAAGCGAGCCTTGCTTGAATGCATTTACGAAGCTTAACTCAGCAACCAGCCGAAATGATCTGTTTCAGAGGTGCCAATCCAAAAATTTTTCCCGTTCAATATCGTCTAGTGACAACAACCAGACCTTTTCTCACTTTCCGCAACCTTTGACTATATGACATAATATCATATGACATTCTCATATCAGGTTGGAGGCCATCGCCACTCGGTTTCGATGAGAAGCCTTTCGGGAATTAGTACGACCCAGAGACGGCTTCGCAGCGCCATGGCGGAGCCGGCACAGCCACCACCAAGCACCTTTGGAAAGCCCATCGATGACGGGACAACGGAGTCTCCAGAGGTGGAAGAACCTGCGAGTTCAAAGTATCAGTTGAATTCCTTCGAGGATCCTTGGAGAGACCACAGGGTGTTTCTCTGTTTTTTCTTCATGTTTGGTCCATCAGACTGTGTATGGGTCTTGTTTTTTTTGTTATGGGGGTGTTCATGATGACAAAAGCCAGGACTTCCGTCAGTACTGCATCGACGCAAATGTGGCTTTGGTGAGGCCCAAGTTTTTAGAAGAACTCTGCCGGGCCGGCGGAGTCTGGCCCCGACGGCAGGAAGCTGAGAAGATGGAAGGAGCTGCACGGGTTGTGCCTCTGTGGGTTGAACTAACTGAGTCTTCCGGTGAGGGGAAGGTTGACATATGATTATTATAAATACGGTCAACGACATGGCTAGAAAGAGTGGTAGTTGGTGGTTTTGCCAGATGTAGAATCAGTGTGTAAATCGTCAAAGGTCTTCCAGTTCTTCTTGAGCTCTTGGATGGATTTGGAAATTCACTGATTTCCCAGTCATCAGCATGGAACAGGTTTCATTCACATTTTAAGGGGCCAAGTCAATTGTTTTTGCTGTTTTGGGGTTACTCAGGTTACTCAAAACAACAGATGTGTGTGATTTTGAAGAAAGGCCCAGGTGACTTCTTCGCTTGGAGAGTTCATGGACGATGAGACTTGTTGCCAGGAGCCTTGTACAAACCAGGGCCTGATGACCAGTTCTCATTCATTGGGATCTCGCATTGCTGGGAGGCCCGCGAACATCCTGATCCCTTTGGATTCCAGCCGCTCGAGCTTGAGCCGAAAAGACGTTAAAGCCCACCAAACTCAAATGTTTAAACATCTATCTATACTTTAAGTTTCAACTAGAAAAAGGAAGTGTTCAAACTGTCCATTGGTATTGGAAAAATCCATAATGTCCATGATGAACTTCCATGATTGGTACTGAAAAATAGGTGCGAAAGTGGATGATGGAACTGAGCCTATGTGGCCACCATAGCCCTCAGTGTTTGGTTCGCCTTCGTCGGCCTCGGCCGGACCGGCCGGACGAGGTTGAGAACCATTGTTGATGCCTTGCACTACTGGAAAGCTGCCAATCCTGAGAAGTATGAAGATGGTGACACGTATTTCTTCATCGACTATATGTCCCTGCCGCAATTCCTGAGGAATGCGGAGGAGGAAAAAGACTTTCAATTGGCCATGCAACACATGCACTTTTTCTATGCCACTTGGAAACGCTTGGAAAGCACACTGCATTTAGTCACATTCTTGGATTTCCGAACACACCGGCCTTTGGTCCTTTTGTACGCCTGCCACTCCGTGGTGGAGTGACTAAGGCCAACAGTGGTGCCGACTTTTGCAAGAGCGTTTGGCGCTTGGAGCGGCTCACACCTCGAAGCTTGAAGAGATGGCATCCCAGCGCTTGACATGCCACAACGGGCGGCGTGAAAGGTCCACAGTTTTTGTATTATAAACAAGGCTTTAAGGAACCTAATAGCAATGGCCTCCAACCTAGTCGCGATGGCCTCCAACCTAGTATGCAATGGCCTCCAACCTACTACGGATGGCCTCGATGGCCGACCTAGTAGGGATGGCCTCCGACCTAGTAGCCATGGTCTCCAACCTAGTAAGTGATGGCCTCCAACCTACTACGGATGGCCTCAGTATCGATGGCCGACCTAGTAGCGATGGCCTCCCACCGAGTAGCCATGGCCTCCAACCTAGTAAGCGATGGCCTCCAACCTACTAGCGATGGCCTCCAACCTATTAGCAATGGCCTCCAACCTAATAGCGATGGCCTCCAACCTAGTAAGCAATGGCCCCCAACCTAATAGCAACGGCCTCCAACCTAATAGCAATAGCCTTCAACCTGGCAGCAATGGCCTCCGACCTAGTAGCTTAAATGTGTATATGCTGTTTCACCAACATAGGAATTCAAGGATTTGACACCAGAAATCATGCTGAAGCTGTTTGGGGTCTATGCTTGTAGATGTTTGATTTGTTATCCATGGACATTGAATTACATTTATATATATATATATTTATATATATATATATTTATATTTATATATATATCGATGTAGTATAATATATATAGAGTTTGTATCGCATTGTTATGACATTGGTTGCCTTATTTCAAGATTGACACCGAAACTCAAGTTCTTGCTATTTGGGCCCACCAAGGCAGCTCTGGCAAGGAAGAAGTATAGCTGTTTACAGCCTTGCCGAAGGCAGAGTGGCAGAGGTACCTTTGAAGCGATTGAAGTCCATGGTGAATGGCAAGTGCTGCAGCACTTGCGATGACAAATGTTGCAATCTCCATATCAATGATGTGATGTACCTGTGCCGTGGCTGGTGCCGAGCTGAGTTTGAATGGGCTAAACCCAACACTGTAGATATCTCTCGCCAAGCCACGTTTCTTCGCTGCTGCTGGGCGACTTATGATGCGGAGTTTATCCGCTTGTCCCTGCCCTGGACGCCTGAGGCGTTCCAGCAGCAACTCGCTAGCGAGCAGTTGAAATTCACACATCGAAGTGACATGGGACCAGTGGTGAAGCTGCAAGAGCTTGTATTTCATCAAAAAGTCGCCACCATGGAAGAATTCCAATGTAACTGGTTGAGATTGTCAGAGGTCGAAGACTTGGTGAAGCTTTTGCCACGTTTGCAGGCCGTAGAGACGTTTGCTCTCATGGCCGCCTACCTGTCGAGTCAACAACAGGTGCCCTTGGCAAAGGCCTTAGCTTTTCACCCCACGCTGCGCAAGGTCGAGATCGCACACGTGCAACTGACGATTCCAGCAGTGGAACTGTTAGTCTCGGCTCCTCGCTTACATCGCTTAGAGATGCTACGACTGGATGCTTGTGGCCTAGGTGATGCAGGTGCCAAGGTCGTCGCGGATGCTTTCGTCATTCACCCAGCGCTCACAGAACTGCACCTGGCCTTCAATGGCATTGGCAGCGCTGGGGCGGTGGCTTTAGCCCATGCGCTTCCGGCCATTCGCTGCTTGGAAGAACTGAATGTGCGCTGGAATCGCATCCACTCGCTGGGTGCCGTGGCCTTGGCCAATGCGGCGAACACGCTGAAACGCCTGGATATCCGAGACAACCCCATTGGTGCTAAGGGCGCAAGAGCCTTGAGATGCAGATCCATCGATGTGGAAAGCGAAGTGCTTCATTTCAATGTAGACACATCCTGGCTGGGCTTCTTCCGTTGCATTCTGTGGCAACTCTTCATGCGACTCTTCCTCAGCATGGTGGTGCTTCCCATGACATGCTTCAGGTGGCGGCAAAGGATGTTCCATGTCATGACGGCCAAAGACGGTTCCCGAGTTCGGCCCGCAGAGCCTTCGGAGAGTTCCGAGGAGGTCATCCAGAGTGGTGAGGCCAATGCGGCACACCGCTGTCAAAGTGACAATGCCAGTGTGGCAACCATTGACTGAAGAAAATGGGTCCCACATCGAACGAAAGTCCAGGTTTCAATAGGTTTCATCGCAATTCATATCACTTCCTCACTGATAGCCACGTGAGCCGCAGCCCATGAGAAAAAATTGTGTGAAGGCAGTGCGAGTGTGTTTCCATTCGGGATCATTCAAGGGGATCATGGTGTTGTTTCTGTCAAACATGTTGATCTTCTTTCAGGCGAAACCTGTTTTGAGCTGGTGATGTTGTGGAAGAAGCAGCCTGGGCGGACGACTATGGCAGCTTGGTGCTTAGAACCACTGGAAATGAACAGGAAGCACAAAACACAAAGACTACAAAAGCATCCGAACGCAAGAAAAACAACTAAAAAGAAGACAATCATAAAGAAACACAGAGCACATCAGGGCAAAGTTTCAGCTGAAGGTTTTTGGCACACCTGGACGGAAGCACGGTCTGTTCTGACGTCAAGTTGCATGTGTATGTGTGTGGACCAAGAGCCAAACGGCTCTCTTTCAGAGCTTGAGACACCATGGCCGATGGACCAATGCTCTCGAGAAGATTTGCAGACCTGCCCAAAGCTTCCAGAAATGAGAACACAATAGAAAATGGAACAAAAGCAATGCGTAAATAAATAGAAAGATGAAATATGTAGAAAGAGCTATTATAAAACCATTAGTGTCTTTAGTAGTGGACCAGAGGGGTCTTCCCCCTGCTCTCCCGGCTTTCGTGTTTTGCCAAATTCGTTTGAAGAAACGGCTCAGGTCGAGGAGCTTCTCACAAGTCCAAAGTACAAATCCAGAACCAGAGCTTCTCACTTGTGATGTGGGTGTGTATTGGGGGTACCTCCAATCAATGGTTTTTGGTCGTGGTTTTGGTGTATTTCCCTTCTTTCATGGGGTCGTTGGGAGGTCTCCCTATTTTAATACGCTTCCATGTGCTCATATGCGCTCAATTCGAAGCAAGGATGTGAAAGCTCAAGTCCACGGGTTCGTTTCAGCCTACGAAATGTGCCTTTTCCTTTCAGGTCTGGTGTTTGGCACGGCTCCTCAGCATCACAAGAAGCGGAAATCACATTGACATGGTCGTTGCCTGAACAATCACGCCGATGTTGTTCACCAATTTTCATCTTCATTCAATTTGTTTGTATCTTGTGTGTATCTTTCACTTGTGCGAGACTTAGGAACTTTTGCCTTGCTCAAGTTTCCACTACATTAGCCAGCTGCTAGTAATTAGGTGGATGTGCCGAAGACAAACATCGAGTAGTTCAGATGGGATTCACGTTCACATTTATGACTTATGCAGACCTAGTTTGAACAACTACACAGCCATGGCGGCCAACTGAATCGGAAGGATGTGTGTGGATTCCCGCGATGGGAGACAACTTTTGTTGGAATTTTTGCAGAGGCACGTAGCGAGACGTTTGTACAACTTGGCCACACGTGCTGGTGACACGCCGGCAGCAGTTGACAATGAAGCATGTGCCTGAGGTTCACGAACAGGGTGAAGAGTGGATACCCTTTCATACGCAGGTTGAGGAGGTTTGCAAAGCTTTAGACGTTGAGAGACACCAATCTGCAGACCAAATACTTGTTAAACATATTGTTGAGCAAGGTCCAAAGCGCCCAAAGCGAGGCGCCCACAAAATGATGAATGTGTGGTTCCCGCCAAGGAAGAAGTGGAAAGGCCAAGAAAGAGTCCCAAGGCCGCCTTTGACCAGCCCGTCCAGTGTTCTGCATCTGTTCGGCAGAAAATCATGCAAGATCAAACGTTGAGACAGATGGAACCATTCGTGGAGGGCGAAGATGGCGAGGAGGCTGAAGATTCTGAGGTGAACCCACTAGTCACTAGTGAGGCCACTGGCCAGTGATACACTTGGTCCGGTTCCTCCGACTGCAATCAGCCCACGACGCATGGCATTTGCGAGAAGTGCAGGAAACCGTGTTTACCTGGCTTGGCATCCCTCTTTTGCGCAGCTCAGTGCGAGAAGAGACGTTCCCTGACGTCCTGAACAAGCTTTTAAGCATGCTTTCGACACGATCCCAATAGGACAGATAGAGAACAGTGAATTCAACCAAATATTGAAACTCTGGCCGGTTATTGTAGCTTTAGCCTTAAGGGTGAGCGACCCATGGATAGTGTCCAGTGGCTTGCAAGGGGAGATGATGAAAAGCCCATTCCCACTCGAGAGGCGGAAGACCGCGAAAGCTGCGTCTCCGCGCTGCTCGGCCTGGTGCCAGCAGCTTGCCTGGCGGAATCAGACTACCTGTTAGTCGCGAGGTTGTTGCTGAGTGTCCACAACGACCTGCAGCTCTTTAGTCTAGTGCAGCTGCCATTCTGTGCTCATGACGCCACGGCACTCAGACGCTATACACACAGGAGATGCCTCAATGTACAGGAGCACAAGTACCACATCCTCAGGACCTTTGGGAATCGACCAAGAGCTTTTTGAGCATCTCGCTTCAAGCTCACGGTCGAGCAGGAGAAGTGGATGCAATGGTAGCTCAGTTGCGCCAGCAGTCGGAAGGAATCGTAGACATTGCTCCAGAGTTGTGGAAGATTCTTTTCTCAGGGAATACTCCATAAGCTCGTTGGGGAGGCTTGTGCAGGTTGCTCGAACGGTGTGAGAACCTTGAGGCCAATGTCCACGAGTCAGTTCTAGCAGCTTTGCTTGCAGGGTATCCGAAGCAGTTCAATTTGAACGACGGAGTGACCTTGTCTTTTTCGCCAAAAGAAGTTCCTGCCCTGCAGACTGCCCTGCAGTTCTTATTGCTGCTGAAGGAAGAGCCCTCAGAAAGCGAACTCGCGTTTTCTCTTGCTCAACTGCGGAAAAGGGCCGTGGGCCGACACTTGAGAAAGATCAATCCGCAGTTCCTTGGCAAAGAAGAACTGCCCAACATGCGTCGATTTGGAGCCCTTGTGATCGACTTCATTGCCTGGTGGAAATACCTTCAGGAGCACTAAATTCATGCAAAAACTCCTTCCAAAACCATGGGAGAACACTTACAAAACACCACGGCTTCGAAAGCCTCTTCCGCATTCCCAGGTTGAGTACCTCCGAGCATACTTGCTCAAGATTGAGTGGCCAGACATGTACACGATGCAGAGACTACAGCGACGCGTGTCCCTCCTTACCAAGGCTTCCTTTCATGACTGGAGAAAAACCGAACTTCCACAGCTTAAGAGAACCACAAAAGCTTCGCCTCAGGTGCGTCGCCGCGTCCATCGGTGCCTGTGCACCCCGTGGCAAGCGACCTCACGCCACTGGGCCCTGCTTGAGCTGCACAACCTTCTGCCAGTGACCCTGCTGGTTACAACGAAGCTGGTGGCAAAGCTGGTGCTGAAGCTGATGAGAATGCAGGCGTGAGCCAGACTAGAGAGAATGATGCCTTTGTGAGCAAGTTTAGCCACTGCGACTGGAGTGACAGCTCCACATAGTGGCTCTACTGCTAGCCACACATCCGAAAGGCTCAGCAAGCCTCGCAAAGCGAGGGGCGATCAAGTTCGAGATGGCAAAGCGAAGGGGCAGCTCGAAAAAGATGGTGCCGAGCATCGCCGAGCCACTTGATGTTCACTTTGTATGGCAAACATCTCTGCACTTAATAAGGAGTTGCACCTTTTATTCAAAGCTTGACAACTTGCACAGGTTGGAAGACCCTGAAGATCCCTGAAGACGTCAGCCAGCACAGCCAGATGCTCGTGTCAGTCGCTAATTTGTGGGCTTTGCATGTTCAAATGGTCCAAAATGATTCCTCTTAGCTGTAGCTTTCAATTTCACCTGGAAAACGTCCCCCGACAGCCCAAGGTCTAAACAAGAGTTGGTCGCCTTCTTGCACAAGGCCTGCAAATGCACAAGGCCTGCGCTCCAAGTTTGGTCAGAGCGTGTTTGGAGATTGTGGTGAATGTTTTGAATGGGTGTGGCCGCCGTGGCCCCAGGTCCTCGCTGCAATGCATTCGGGGTCTTTTCCACCTGGGACCTGAGGTGGGAACCGGTTTGAACTTGGAGAAGTTTCAAAAGCTTTGAGGGAAGATCTACAGGAAACTGTACCATCTCCTTGTTACTATAAGAATGCTCCGTTCGTAGCGATGCCAGCCGCTTACAGACGTATATAGCTTCTTTTATAGCCGATTTCAGTCCTTCAAGCGCCGGGAAGTAAATCGGCGATCGATCCACGACTGACTCGTTCCACTCGTCGAGGGTTCGAGGAACCGCGTTGGTCGGTTCCCCGAGCGTCGTTCGGACGGCTGATCCCAGCTGCCGGTCCGTGGCATGAGGACCAGGTACGTGGTAAGAAGAGTGGCAGAGAACCGTAGGATGGTCTCTCAACTTGGACGCACCCGATTTCGGCTCCGAGAAGAGGCAAAATGATTAGCAGTCATGATTAGCACCTGAAGAGACCTTAGAAGAAGCGATTAGCTGGAGGCCATCGCTATTATGGAGGCCATTACTAGTCAGGCTAGTAGTAGCTCCTGGCCTTTTTTACGAACAAGAAGCTACTAGCAAAGGCCAAGCACTTCCATGTGCTTAGCTTTGTCCACAACCTCAGGGGCGACCGCCTCCATCGGCGACCACGCTGACTCCGGCCTGCCGAGAGCGAAGTGAGAGCGAAGACAGTGAGAGCGACTCCCCGGGTTGGTTGGTTCATGTTTCCAAAGCCTTGCAGAGGGACACTTCAGTGACACAATTCTTGATCAGATTGTTGAAGGTGACGAAGGTTGTTGGAGAACTTCGAAGACCAAGGATCATCCGTGAGAACCCTCATGGATTGCCTGCGACAATGCAAAGAAAAGGCGCTGGCAGCGGCCCAAAAAGGGTCCATCAGAGGTGGATACGTAGCTTGCCCACCAAACAAAAAAGACATCAGAAACTACCTGGAAACTCGTATGATTTTTTTTTTGATCACTATGGCCTCAAGCCGTATTGACCGTTTTTGAATATGGCCGTATACTGGCCATATTTGCATGCATATTTGGGGGTGCCCGTATGATACTAGTATGTGTTCAATATGTTACTGAAGAAACACGGTAACCATATTCCAACATACTAGTGCGAATACTGCGTTGGAACACCCGAATATGGTACCCTATTGAGCCAAGAGAGGAAACGGGCAAACCCCGTAATGACCAAAAAAAATGGTCAAATGCCGTATGACAAAAATTGAACATACTGTTTCTCAGGTATATACTATGTGTGTTTTTTCATTGTGTTTTTTTTCCGAAGAAGTCCGAATGATACCATGTTAGGAGTTGTGAGTTGGTCTGTCATAGTACTTCATAGTACTTGTTGCTCAATGCTTCTTGGATCAATGCTTGTTGGTCTATCATAGTACTTGTTGCTCAATGATACCCAGTTTTTGCCCGAGCTTCTTGGATCTCCACACCGCTTGAGTGACCGCTTTAGGCTCCAGTGACGTCCGCGACCGCTCGTCGTTTGTCGCGGGTTCTTCGGAACTCCAGGCAGGGCACCGGGTGGAACTCACATGACCCGTTTGCTCCGTTCGTAGCGATGCCAGGAGCCCCTACTAGCGTCCTTTGCTCCTAGTAGTAAGGCCAGGAGCTACTAGTAGCTTCTTGTTATTACTAGTAGTAAGGTGCCTTGTTCCTCCCACCCCTGCAGGAGCCATGTTCTCCCGGCTCGCCACGGCCAGCCGCAGCGCCGCGCGCCGCGCCGCGCAACGTGTGGGCGCATCGCGGTCAGTGACGAGCTCTACGAGCCTTGGCACAGGAAAAGAAGAACACCGACGCGAGATGGACGTGGAATCCCAAAATCTCAGGTGACGTCCAAAGCAGGAAGAGTCAGTGTCACCAAAGTTTTTTGAATATGTCTTCCAGCACAGCAAAAGTGGTTTGAAGACCACGACTAGAAATCGATCAAGCACAAGCGAACCTTCCAACAGTGAGTCAGTGAGTGAGATATCTTGATAAGCAAGCATTGACAGGACTGTAGGCTTAGAACCATTTACCTGCAGGAACGTGACATTCAGGGTTGGAGTGGGAATCAAAGATTCAAGCTACTAGTAGTGACTTGACCCGGGCTGCCTTTATTGGCCGGGAAGAGTGGCTCCATCAAACAACCTAGAAGCGATGGCCTCCGCCTTAGTAGCAATGGCCACCAACCTAGAAGCGATTGCTCCGATCCGCAAGGTATTCATTTCACACATGTCACACTCTTGGATGCTTTTTGGTTGTCATTCTCTTGTTCCATCTCCTTCCCTCAAGTGACCGTGAACGCGCAGGGCCCCACCTCTTGGACTCTGTCTTTTGAACAAAAACACCTCGGGGCGACGCTCCATGACTGAATGTCATGGCCCGAATCTGGCCCTTTGGGGTTGATGGATGGCCTGGCCATGCTCCTTTGCGTTGCAGCGGATCATTCTCTATGGCCATGGAAGTGTACGCCAATGTTGGGAATGACTCGAATTGACCGGTATGATGGCTTCCTTTGCGCTGCGGTTGGCAATGGAGGCCTCCAACCTAAGAGCTTAGTAGCGTCCACCCTAGTAGCGTCGTTGCTACCAGTAGCTATATGTGCTCCTAGTAGCGATGCCAGGAGCCCCTAGTTACGTCCTTGTTCCTTGCCCCCCCCCCACGCGCGCGCGCGCAAAAAGGTCCTAGTAGATTTCTTTGCTAGTAATTACAAATGCATCGCTAGTAGTAACAAGTGCCTTACTGGTAGTAATAAGAAGCTAGTCATTACAATTCTAATTTAATTCTTGTTACTACTAGTAAGGCACTTGTTCCTAGTAGCGATGCACTTGCTCCTAGTTGCGTCCTTGTTACTCCCTCCTCGCGGAAGCCTCGCGCACCGTGGCCCGTCTGAGGATCGGCGGCTACGAGGTCTTCGACCACTCCTACGATGCGGTGGTCATCGGCGCCGGTGGCGCAGGCGGGCGCGGAGCCGGTAGAGCGGGCGGGTGGACGAAGGAGGATGTATATATTTGTTTTCAGGGATATTTGGAGTTAATCTGGAGTGTGCCAATGGAAGATCCACTGCTTGACAAGTTTCACATACATTTCTGGAGGTTGCATTTGTTTTTGGTGTTGTTTTTTGGTTGTGTTGAAAAGAAATATTGGAGGTGCATGCAAAAAAGATTAAACATGGTGATCTTGACTTTGATTATCTTGGGCTAAGAACGCGTGGATTTTCTGGTGCCGAAATGCCAGTGAAGCCCCCGAAAGGAAGACTGAATTCCTCTATGCAAAGTGCCATCCACTTCGATTGTTTCAGGGAGGGTCTCTGATCGTTGAGACCCCTCGAGCCGTCAGCCAGGCTTGCGAGCCGCGGCCGGGCTGGTGAACCACGGGTTAAAGACGGCGTGCATCACCAAGGCGCGAGCGGAGCGGCGAGCCGGACGGGCCGCGGGAGCCTCGGCGGGTCCGGTGGCATTGGCTGCCAAAGAAGATCCCAGAGATGTCAAGATATGTTCGAGGGTTGGACTCTTTCATGGCTTTGAATCCAATCAGAGAGGATTTGGAGTTACATTGGGCGACGTTTTCTGGAACGGGCGTTTCCGTTTTTCTTTTCGATAAGGGAATTCTTTGGAATACCTCTTGCTTTGAGCAGCAAGTTTGCTTGGTTTGCTCTGTCTCAGGTGTGGGTAGCTCACTGTCTCAGGTGTTCACAGGAAGCGTTGGCATTTGCTACATCTACATATCACCCCAACTGGTCGGATGTGATGCGAGCAAGCTTCGAGGTCGCTTCTGGCAGCGTCAGTCGCCCCGCGACCCGTTTGCGCGTCAGTCGGTCCGCGGGTCGGTCGCCGGAGGTGTTTCCCACGCGATCTCACACCGTGGCAGCACAAGGCCAGGCACGGAAGAGCGGAGATCAGCGGAGAATTGGGTGCCGATTGGAAGAGGAAGAGGATCAGAGCAAGGCTTCCAAGGCCCAAAGCACATGGCAGGGCTCTCCGTGTTTGTGTTTGATAGCACGGCTGTCCAGGTGGCATTAATGGAGCATTAGCCAACATGACTGAGGACTGGACTGGGTTACTGGGTGGCGAAAATCACAGCAGGTGGAAGAGGCATTTGGCCTCGCCATGCGAAGACCATAGGAGTCAACGATGGTCAACAGTTTGTTCGGAGTTGTTTTAGAAGTGTCACCTCCCATGAACTGTTGAAATGCTGAGTCACTGCCAGAGACAACATGTCACCTCATTGAGCCTTGAACATGTGGACAATGTTCAAATCAGTTTGTACGCAAGACGTCCAAAGACTATGCTTGGCACCAACCAAGGTACAGAAAAACGTTTCGGATCTACCAAGCAGATCGCCCAGTGGCCGGCAGGACGACTGGCGTTGGCATGCCTATGACACGGTGAAGGGTGCCGACTGGCTCGGAGATCAGGAAGATTCGCGCGCGCGTAGCTGGAAAGATGTTTCGGGGGGGAAGACCAGCACAACGCCGCGTGTCAAAACGAAACTAAGACCAAGACCAAGGACAGACTATTGATCTGCTGCACTTGTAGGAGGATAGTTACCTGGTAGCATTGAACTCCCGTCGTTTCCCGCGGTCAGCCATCCCGCTGGCCGCGTTTGACAGGACGCCATTCAGCACATGTGCCGCCTGGCACCAGAGGCGGAGTCAGCACGGCCGGGCGTCACGGCCTGTCGAGTGGTCGACTGATGCAGGTGATTCTGGAATTGGAGTCCTTCGGCTTGCCATTCTCCCGTACGCCGGAGGTGCCTTTTTTAAATCCGCGCGCAGGGCGGACTCCTGTGACAGATGGAGGACCAGATAGTTGGAAGAAGAAGGAGAAATACTTCGTATGTTTGTATCACATGTTCTTTCACTTGGCCACTATGAGGCCTCTTGAGGCTCCCGAAGGTCTCCGGCCGCTGTTTCGTCCCGGCTCGCAGGGGAAGATCTACCAGCGCGCCTTTGGTGGACAGAGCTTGAAGTTTGGCAAAGGCAGGGGTCCAAAAACGGCGTTTCTTTGCCGCGCTTGTCTAGGAGTCCTTGCTCCGTAGTAGCGTCCGATCGCTCCGTTCTTGGCGAGGCCACGAATTGGAAATGTTGCATTGCCAAAAGGTCAAAAAAGCAAGAGACCTATGGAGACTTGAAAGCAATTGAACTTGAGTGCCCTTCTGAGTGTGGTTTGGGGGTGATTTGCAATTCAAACCCGCCAAGAGAATGCAGCAAAAGCGCTATAGATCAGATAGATCCACCTCCAATGGCATCCTGCTCCGTTCGTAGCTTCCGATCGCTCCGTTCGATCGCGGTGCCAGGTGGCCAGGCCTATCGCTGCGCGGCGGCTGCGGACCGCACGGGCCACGCCATCCTGCACACCCTCTACGGCGCCTCGGTGTGGCGATCTGCGGCGATGGAAGGCTGCAAAAGGTGGCCTCCAACCAACAACCAACAATAACGATGGCGTCAAACCTAGAAGCTATGGCCTCCACCCTATAGTAGCAATGGCCTCCAAGCTACATAGCGATGGAGTTGGGCAGCTTGGAGGTTTGAAAGGAAATCCTCGGGGGGAAAACGGAGGGAATCCAGGGAGAAGGACCCGAAGGAAGGCTGAAAAAGCCATGTAACCTTGGCTCACACTGCAAAAGGTGGCAGTGTTGTTGATCCCTCACATCACCCAGACAGTCGAAGGGCTTTAGGGTTCATCTACTAAATCGGATGTTGCTTGGAGGTACTGTTCACCCGGATGGATGGCGGCAATGACCACCGGAAGATGACGACTGATGACCCCGCTAGTGAAACAACCACCGCATGGGACGCAGTATGCCGGGCGGTGATGGGGATAGTCGAATAACCCACCTATCTGCGATGGCCTTGCTCCTAATAGCATCCTTGCTCCTAGTAGTAAGGCCCGGAGCCCCTAGCAGCGTCCTTGCTCCTAGTAGCGATGCCAGGAGCACCCAGTGGCCCTAGTAGCTTCTTGTTCCTAGTAGTACAGCCAGGAGAACCCATCACCGCCCAACCTGCATGTTGAGGCATGGCCTTGAAGTTCGACTGCTTGTTCTTCGTGGAGTACTTCGCCATGGACCTGATCATGAGTACTTCGCCCTTCGTGGAAATACTGGATGTTGGGACGTTCAAGGAAGTTTGATCAAGGGGAAGATGTGCTTTTGGAATCCAGATTGTGTTTCAAGCCTAAGTGACATAGTATGTTGCTATCAGAGAGCTTGTCGGACCAAGACCGAACTTATTTTGCAGCTCTGCACTGAAGAAGCCATTTAAAATCATTCAAATATTGGTTCCAGATGATTTGTAACACTTTAATCAGATGGTTTGATTTGTCATCATCTATTGAGCCACGAAATCACTTGGAAAGCAGCCAGGAAATGAATCAACCTGAATAACTGCTGGTAGTAGATGTACACAACCCGAGGGCTCTACACGAACATGGTCTCGCAATGTCCATCAATGGCCTCCACCCTAGTAGCGATGGCCGCCACCCTCTCTCCTTTGCATAACAGGTGATGACGGCAAATGCTTGGGCTGCGTGGCCATGTACCTTGGGAACAAAGTCGACTCAAGCCGTCCTTCGTTCCGGGCGCTGGGCGGGCCTCTCGCTACTTCTCTATGCCTTTACTGGAACCAGCCATAGTTGTGTCAGCTTAAAGCTGGTGGCCAATTTCCGGGTGTTTGTGAGGAATTTTCACAGGCCCCATGGCGCACACGCGATGCCGAGGTGCATGGAGGATGGCAGCATCCACCGCTTCGGAGCCCACAGCACCATCATCGCCACCGGCGGCTTTGGCCGAGCCTATCAGTCCTGCACTTCTGCTCACACCTGCACAGGTGCGCAGACAGAGAGAGGGAGGAAGAGCATGGTCTTGGCGCACGTTTTTTTGTTTTCGCGCGGTTTTCTGGCCTTGTGGATGGTGCACGTATTGCATCTGTTGAGTAATTAGTCATTTCCCCCATTTGTCCATTGATCCACTCCAGTCCGTTTTAGCCATCCACTCTTCCGATCAGCGTCCAGCAGTGCGTCAACAGGCGATGGCAGCGCCATGGCCTCCCGCGCTGGGCTGCCGATGCAGGACTTGGAGTTTGTGCAGTTCCATCCCACAGGCCTAGCGGCGTGCAGCTGAAATTGGCAGCTAAGGACCCTGCTTATTTGGGTTCATTTGATGAGTGAATCAGGATGTGGTTTACATCTGAGAGGAGAACAGATGATGTTGACGACTTCACTTTTCAATGGATGTTGTGCATCGGTGGTGTGGATCATTATGGATGTCTACAGCGTAGCTTAACATGTTGTATGAAGACCTCCGCCCAAGAGAACCTCTTTGAATTCCATCCATCATCCACCCACTATTCTGGCGTACTGGGGTATACTCAATGGTACTCCGTTGGCACACTGCGCGAACCTTTAGTGCAGGTGTGTGAAGTTCTTTTGAGCATTTGGTAGATGAATCTTCCCAAAGCATCACTTCCCCACAAAGCATCTCCCCACCTACCATCACTTCGCAGCATCAGTGCCGGACCAGGCATCTTCCCTGCGGGCTGCCTCCTCACCGAGGGCTGCCGCGGTGAGGGCGGAATTCTCCGGAACAGCGAGGGCGAGCCTTTCATGGCGCGCTACGCACCCACCGCTAAGGCGACCTTTTGAGCTGCAAAGGTCCGGCTGTGTCAAAACCTCATGGAAGGTTGACATCCTGTAGAGACATCAAAGTGCCACGCTAGTAGTAACAAGTGCCTTACTAGTAGTAACAAGAAGCTATTAGAAACAAGTGCATCGCTACTAGTAGCAAGTGCCTTTGTGCATTTCCGGTGGTGCACCCGAATCCTGGCAAATGACCCGCTGCCGAATGGCACAGTGGCACGGGTTGCTTCGGATGTTGTAAACTAAACTGGGGGCTCGCTTTGGCAGTCAAGTCAAGCGCTATTTGGAAAGATCCACCTACAAGAAGCCGACCATTCTGAGAAGATCCAAATTCGAAACACCGTGGGAATACCAGGTTTGAATCCTTCAGCAATGAGTTCATCATATTTCATCCTCCCCAGATCCTCCGAGGACTTGTTACACCACCTTCGCATGGCCTCCAACCTACTAGCGTCCTTTGCTCCGTTCGTAGTAAGGCCAGGAGCGCTCCTGGAGTAGCGATGCCCTTGGCCCCTCCTAGTAGCGTCCTTTGCACACACGCTGTCGTCCTGCATCGACGCCAAAGAGGACTTGGCATCGCGCGACGTGGTGAGCCGCGCCATGACCTTGGAGATCCGCGAGGGCCGCGGCGTGGGCCCCAACAAGGTGCGATGTGACATCCCACAGCATGGGTCGAAATCTTGTGAACAACAGTGTATGAGGGTGGTTCTTCTTTTCGTTGGGGGAAGGGCACGAGTTTTGAAGGATTAATCAAGTCTTTCAGCAAATTCAAAGGATACAGTCATGAGAGGTCTTGTGACACCTATCCGGACCAGTCTCAGTACCCAGCTGTCTCTCTCTCTTCTCACGCGTCCTTCTCTCTCACTTCTTCACCATCGGACCGGATGGCGACCTCCCCCCTTCGTTCCTCCTCCTGCTTCTGCTTCGCTCCGCTCCCTCCGCTCGGCAGGACCACATCTTTTTGCACCTGGATCACCTTCCTCCTGAGACCTTGGCAGAGCGTTTGCCCGGCATCTCTGAGACGGCCAAGATCTTCGCCGGCGTCGACGTCACTAAGGACCGACCGGTTTTCACGAGACGCTTCGAGATCCGGTGGTCCAAGGGGCATGAAGCACCTGTGATAGCTATGAAGCACCTGGGAAGAGCCGCTTTTCCTGGAAAGAACGGGCAAGAATCTTTGCCGAAAGGATCTTCTATAGGTATTTCTAGGTTCTTTGGGGAAGAGTCCACTGTTGGTTAGTGAATGACTTCACATATCATTCACTTGTGAATTTTGGAGAGTGCTCAACGCTTCAGCTTCAGATGATGACGTTCTCACCACATGCTCGTCCGATGTGACAAGGAGCCTGCGCCCGTGCTGCCCACTGTGCACTACAACATGGGCGGTATCCCGACCAACTGGAAGACTCAGGCACCCTGGAGAGTTCTACAGAGATGTGCTTGGCTAGATGGGGACTGGACATGTGGATTGTGAGCGATGCCCTTTGCTTCTAGTAGCGTCCTTGCTCCTAGTAGTACGGCCAGGAGCCCCGTTCGTAGCGTCGTTGGTGCATGAAGCATGAAGGGATCACGGCTTTTGGGAGGTCGGTGCCATTTGGGGTCTTTCGGGGGTTGGTCTCCCTGTTCACACAACCATAGTACCCAAATCCCACAGCCTCTACCCCTACTAGCGATGGCTTCCAGCCACCAAATAGCAATGCCTCACTCCTGCCTGCTGACCTGCTGTTTGCTCATTCTCTATGTTCACAGGTCGTCCGCGATGCGGAGGACACCATTGTTCCCGGGCTCTTGGCCGCTGGAGAGGTTGCGAAGATGGATGTGTTTGCTTTGAGGTGTAGAATTGGAATACCAGTTGTAGCCACTAGAATCATCATGCTTTGAAGTAGGGGCCCAAAGTCTTTGCTAAAAAACACGTAAAACCCATACTCTTTCGCTGAACTCGACCAATTTCAAACCAATTGCATCACCCAAATCGCCGCTATTAGTAACAAGAGCATGGCTACTAGTAGCCCTGGCACTACTACTATAGTAGCATTCCAAGCTATTAGGTAGTAGCTCAAGTAGGCCATCGCGGACATTCCGGTTCCATCCCGCCATCCTTCCCAGGCGGGCTGCGCCTCAGTTCACGGTGCCAACCGCTTGGGCGCCAACAGCTTGTTGGACCTGGTGGTCTTCGGGCGCCAGGCCGCCGACACCACCGCCGAGCTGGTGAAGCCCAACAGCCGCTGAGCTGAGAGGGTAGGTCTCGGTGGAGGAGACGCTGTGGAGACGCGGTGGAGGAGACGCGGTTTGGTTTGGCTTTATGGCAAAGAAGCCATTGACGCTATTAGAAACAATAAAGCTATTAGGAACAAGTGCATCGCTTCTAGTAACAAGTGCCTTACTAGTAGTAACAAGAAGCTATTAGAAACGATAAAGCTATTGATGCTTTTTGGGGGGGTAGCGAAGCAAGATGTGGCAGTCTTTGCGATCCCACGGTTCCCAAAGACTGCACCGAAGACAGGGTCATCCCGTTTTTCCTGCGCTTCGAGCGCTGAGGCCCTCCGGTGACTTTGCCCAAGAACGTGCCTTGGGCCGCAACGCCCGGAGCTGGCAGCCGTGGGATTGAGCTACGAATGTGGGAGATCGACTGAGTGTTTGCGCGGAAGTTGAGTGCTTCCGGTTTTGGAATTGATAATTATTTATCTTATGTATTTATCCTTTCTTTCGTACTTTCCTCTATCTAAGATGTATTATGTTTGAAGAGAATGAGGCATTGGGACTGGGATAGGTCTTTGAAGAGGACCAGCCGAGCCCGCCCCGCTTTTGGAGGCCGGAGAGGCCAGCATCGCACGCATGGACAAGATCCGCAACGCCAAGGAACCAGGGACCGGGGGCGGGCCGTTGCCAAAGTCCACCCTGTTCGACCATAAGAAGAGACTTCCGAGAGGGCGAGAGGGGCCGTGAGAAAAAAAAGACAAATCGCTGGAGAACGGCTGCGGCAGTTCTTGGTCTGTTCGAGTCATTTCAGTGTGCATGCGTTTTCATCCCCTCCATCCGTCCGTCTTTGTTATTTTTGAAAAAGGGCTCGGTGACCAGTGATGTCTTGAGGGAGAAATCGAAGAACCCTTCGCCGGATGGCGTTTGGGAGTGCCAAACTGGTTTCGCATCGCTTGGTCGTTTGGCGATTGGATTGGTTCTTCGGTGCCGGGGGGGGTCCAATGGGTACATCAACGAACATGGAGTTTGACCTCCAAACAGCTCACCAATTGATTGCTTGGGGGGCTTGGAACAAGGACGCTACTAGCTCCTGGCCTCGCTACTAGGAGCGATCGGACGCTACTAGATGGCTCTTCCCCCCAGATCTTCTTTTCAGCGCCGGACCGGACGAAGCCGCAGGGCCCCATCCCCACCGCCGACTTGCGCCGTGAGCTGCAGGCGAAAGGGACGGGACGGGGGTGACTGGGGACCTTCCGAAGCCCTGCAGTGGCCGGACCTCTCCAGGGGATCGGTGAAGAAGAAAAAGTGAAGTGAGTGAAGTGCTGAGGCCATCGCTCTTAAGTTGGAGGCCATTGCGTTGGGAGACCCATCCAGTTTGCGCCCGAATTGATGAACTGATGGGCATGTGATATGCGGTGTGAACAGATGGTGGTTCTTGCAAGTGCACCCTATCTAGATCCATGTCTGAGGTGAGAATTGAGAAGTGAAACCGGAAGAGTCGCTGCTCTGCTTGGAGATGACCATCAGGTGACCCATGAATCAAATGTGGAACCGTGAAAACCAACCGTACTATTGCAGGTCAAGCAAGGTCCACCAGGTCGAGAAAAATGTGCGAAAACTGCAGGTGACCATGCAGAAGTATGCCCCTGTGTACCGTACCTTGGCGCGCAGGCAGTCGACGAGCCCGGGCGTGAAAAAAAGCACTCCGTACTAAAGCACTCATACCATGCGTTGTGATGGAGGTGATTGACCTTGAAAGACCTTAAGTCAACAAGGGATCTTGGAGTGATTGAACCATGTCCTCCAACTAGTAGGGTGGAGGCCATCGCTACTAGGTTGGAGGCAAGTGGAGGCCATTGCTATAGTAGGGTGGAGTGATTGAGCCATATCCTCCAACTAGAGTCACTGATCGAGGTCATTTGAGGTTTTTTTAAGGACCACCGCCATTTGCTGGGCGAGTGACTGGAGTCGTCTTCCACGCTTTGGGGGGGTGCTCGAGGTCTGAAGTGTTCCAATGGTTTGTTGCGAAAAGAACTCCACATGACCAGGGGCAACAAACATACAATTTAAATGTGCTGTTATGAAAATTTCTTTATGTTTTCATTTGCTGGGTGTCCCCAGCACAAGGTAACCTCACACAAAAAGCGGTTGGTTTCTTCAGCACAGGTCACCTCGACATTGTTCAACGATCGTTTGGTCACTCGTATGATCTTTATGATCTTGGTCAACAAACGCGACTCTGCCAGGCGAACCTGTGCGTTGGTTGTTTAGTTCCAGTGTCAATCTTCCACTGCTTCAAATTCACGAGTCCCAAACCATGAGTGAAGACGTTCGCCTGCAGGGACAGAGCTTGGCTCGATCTATGCAGAGTGGCTGTCTTTTTGGCGCCCACTTAGTGCATGACATCGTGTGACCCTGATGACATCATGTATGGACGTGATGGACCGGCGGACCCCAGACTCTCCGTCCTCATCGCGCGACTCAGCCGAAACCTCGTCGGAGGCCTCGGAACCCTCGCAACTCGATTCCTCAGGCAACTCGGATGACCTGGCGAAGGGCAAGGGCGTGATCGTGGAGGTGATGAAGAAGTACAAGGAATTTGACGGCGTCACGGTCTCAGGGATCGTGTGGCGCGGTGGGCGCGAAGGTTTCGCACCGTACCGTATGGTGCCAAGAGAGGGGTGGGTATAGGTCACGGAGAGTGTGAGGGTGGTGCTTCGTGCTTGGTGTTTGCCACCAAGCACTCGTGGTATGTCACAACGGTTTCTGCCAAGGACTGAGCAAGGATGACTGGAAAACGGACTCACAAAGTCGAGTTTGAGTACTAATGTCGACTCTTGATTTAGAAAAACACAGAACATAGGAAGAGGTATTTTCGATCCAATTGGGGTGGGGTGGGTTGAATAGTCTACATTGACATGATCACCGAATCCGTTGACCTGAATCCTCCAGTCTTCGTAGTTTACTGGCGTTGAGAGTCAGGTGAGTGTTTGGTTTAAGAGAAGATGACTCAAAGAAGCCCTCACAACGGGGAGGCGGCCAGTTTGGTTGACCAACTGGATTGGGAGAGGCCCTTCTTGGTGAGGAAAGTCAGGAAAAGGGGTTGCCTACAAACGATAGCATTCAGCACCTAGAAAAAGTGAACCTCATGCCTCATGCTTGACAGAAAGATCTTCCTGAAGCCTCAGGGTGAGAAGCGAACAGAAAGCGATATCGCGACGATACTTTCACAGGGTATTAGAGCAGGTAGATCCAAGAGAGGCTCGAGAGGCTGCTTTAGCGGGGTCGAACACATTCCGAATGTATCGAAGGATTGTAGACGTCCATTTCTCGGATTCCTGGCCCACCATTAATGGCTTTTACCAAAGAGCCAGTCTTTTACCACTGGATGTTACACCACAAAACCCGGTCAACCCGTTCGTTTCGGAACGGTTGCTCGGCCGGTTGGGTGCGCAGACCGGTGCTTCGAATGCGCAGACCGGTCCGGATGTTTCACCCGACGCAGGACGTGGGCGTCACCGATCGCACCATGATTTGGTGGCTGGGTCGAGAAAGTGGAGGAAAGGAAGACTTCTAGGAACAAAGAAGCTACTAGTAGCTCCTAGCCAAACTAGGAGCAAGAAGCTACTAGAGGGGCTCCTGGCCTTATTCACGTCGCTTCGCGACGGTAACCGCCCGCACCGCATGGAAGGGGCCAATATTTCAGTGACTTCTAGGGCTATGTTAGGCAATATCTTCACTCTATTCCAGTCCCTTTTGAGCCTTCGTTGGGCCATGTTTACGACGTTCAAGTACCTATCTCGGCGAAGCATACTTGAGATAGTGACTTCTGGGGTTATGTTCGACCATATG